AGTGGACAGGGATGTCCCTGTGATCGGCTTCATTGGGAGATTGGAGGAACAGAAGGGCTCTGATATTCTAGTGGAAGCTATCTCCAAGTTCATGGGTTTGAATGTTCAGATGGTTATCCTTGTAAGCAGGGATCATAACTGTTTCTATTAGCCTTTGCGCTCACAAACGTTTTTGAATCTTCTCTGATGATATTTTTTTTTTTTATCACAGGGAACCGGTAAGAAGAAGATGGAGGCTCAGATTCTTGAACTTGAAGAGAAGTTCCCAGGGAAGGCAGTTGGAGTGGCGAAATTCAACGTGCCGCTGGCTCATATGATCACAGCAGGAGCTGACTTCATCATTGTCCCAAGCAGGTTTGAGCCGTGCGGTCTCATTCAGCTGCATGCCATGAGGTATGGAACCGTCCCTATTGTGGCATCTACTGGTGGGCTTGTGGACACTGTTAAAGATGGCTACACAGGTTTCCACATTGGAAGATTCAACGTCAAGGTAGCTCACACCCTGTTTCTTCCGGCATTACCAACTAATTGTCTTATAATGTTTGTTTCTTTGTGTGTTTGTAGTGTGAAGTTGTGGATCCAGATGATGTGATTGCAACAGCAAAGGCTGTAGCTAGAGCTGTTGCAGTGTACGGTACACCTGCTATGAAAGAGATGGTCAAGAACTGCATGGACCAAGACTTCTCCTGGAAGGTCAGTGATTCCATTTCATTCTAATTCTGTTTGTTGTAAGTTTGCACTAATGGAAACCGGTTTGACTTTTTTTTTGATGGATGCAGGGACCAGCGAGACTGTGGGAGAAGGTACTATTGTCACTAGATGTTGCCGGAAGTGAAGCCGGAGTCGAAGGTGAAGAGATAGCTCCTCTGGCGAAGGAGAACGTAGCGACACCTTGAGAATGCGATTATTTTGGTTTTGTTGTATCAAGAAACTGCGTTTGGTGGAGGAAAATTAGGACTTAGGAGTAGGGAAGGTGGAGTAAGAGTAATGTGTTATGTGTCGTATATACGAGAGATGTGTCAGTCTAATATATAATAAGTGCATGTTCGTTTCATCATCCGTAAAGTTGCACAAACACAAGAATATAAGAACTAGCACTTCTTATAAGATTTAGAAACTCTCTCAAAACTAAATCAAAGTGTTTCTCTTAAGGGATGTAACATCTCTGTAACTCCTTATATAGGCGAAGCTACATCTTAACCTAATAATAATATGGAAACATTCCTAAACTCGATATATTTTCCTTTTTCCTTAACTTACTAAATTCCTCTTTAATAAATTAACTTTCTCCTTAAGTTAATTTGGAAGTATCCAACAATCTGGATGGTAACATTTATATTCGTATGAGTTGAACTTCAACTTAACGTGGATGTAAGCTACGATACTTACATCCACTTTTTTTTAACCCTTTAATTTAGTAATCTGATTTATAACATGTTACATCATAAAATATGACAAAACAATAAAGAGAATTTCCACACCAAAAGCCACAGCAAGGACAATCATATATGCTGCATTAGCTATATCAAATTGGTCTTGTTTCAAATAAGTAGATTAAGTTTTCCTGTTTTCACAATAACAGACGGATTTCTAATACTTTTAGCAAAAACATGACAATCATTCTCATCGTTTGGATAGGTCTTCTTCTTCATTACTCTTAGCAAACTTGTCTTGCATTAGCTTCAGCTATTGCAAGCTTGAATTACAAAGTAAAAATCAAATGGATAGCCTGGATTGATGCTTCAGATCCACTATCACGAGACTCAGGTAAACAATGGAAACCAAAACTAATCCAAAAAAAAAAAAAAAGATCTAACTCCTCAAACTATAAAGAAGGACGAAAGCACTACAATACCAATAACTATAGAAAAACAAATTGCTTTAAAGAAAAGCATCGTATAGCAATAATTTATCATGAAGACGAGATCCAAAGCGTAACCTAAAGCCGGTGAACATGAGCTAACCCGTTGCTAAAAGACAAACACTTCAACCCGACTCCTTTGAAGAGATCAACACAACCAAACAAGGCCATACAAATCAAAAACGAACAAGACCAACGCTTTAGATCCGCTTTGAATTCTTGCACGACGTCGCACAATAACTGTAGATGTAACCACACTACCAGACACTGAGATCTGAGAAAGAAGAACAAAAGAAACAAGCTAGAGGGGAAGAAGAGCCCCTCCGACGCCGGCCAAGACCGCCAGTCACCGAAGAGAGTCAAAAAAAGTTGGGAGGCGGCGGGAGAAAATTACTCATAATTTTCGTAATTCATTATCTCTTCATAAAGTATACTTAAGTGTAACATTACTGATATCTATTGATTCTATATAAGATACTATGTAGATGATTATATGATATAAACATTAACATCCTTTACTGGTTTCGCACAAAAACATATGGAAGAATGACCTTTCTTTAGTTTTCACTTTTTCAATATTACCAACATGAATAATTTGTCCAATGACATCTATAAATTTAACAAATAAAATATGGCATAAGAGATTGCCAGACTATACATGCTTAATTTCAAATACTGAATAAAATTGGTATATTGTTTACCTATCAGTACATTGGTTCACCAAAATCAATGAAAGATTTTTCTTGTACATCATCAGGAAAATCAGTCAGCGTTTTGGTCCTCCTTCTCCTAACAATAAATAGTTTGTAACAAAATTAACTATTCCTGAACTTGCCATCATCTTCTTTAAGAGTGAATGCGTTTATTAACCTTTATTTAGAAGATGTTTATGTTTATGTATTTGTTCATTCTCAATAGATACGTGCAATTTGGATCCTTTGAATCAGTCCTGAAAAAATTGGTTTTATATTTTGAAAGTAATAGTAATCAGAATAATAAACTTACATTAGTATCCACAGTGACTATTTCAATAGAGTTTCTCATTCCGGAGTTGTACAAAGTCCATTTATTTATAATCTTCACACAAATTTTCTGAATCTCATTAATATACTCTTTGGAACATAGTGTTGAACATTTTTTGCGAAATCGACATTTTACAGATATGAGAGAGTCAAACGATTTGGTTGTAAATGAGAAGAATTATATATAAGTATACTGATTAATCTATGAGACTAAAGAATATTCCAAGTATTTTGTAGTTACTTTGTTTAAAATATTTACAATAAATATAGTATCTTATTCTTATCTACCACAATAGTTTGAATATACTTGATGTGTGTTTGTTGGAAACAATATCAAAACTGAATATCCCATAATGTCGTTATCAATTAACTGCATACCATAATATCTAAATGACATAAATCTATCATGTTTGCATGGAACTTACACCGAATACCTTAAATGATTACACCCTAACCGTATGGAAAATGAATCTCTAAGCTCTAAATCCTATACATCATAAAAATTATAATGTTGTATGTATATAAAAGAAATATGTATGTGCACATGAAATCATAAATTAATATATATATATATAACTTAAACCAAGAATGGAACTTTGATATATACGACAAAGTTTTCAATACGATGATTTGATTTTACAAACCGAAACCAGAGGATAACAACTTGGCGAATTTTGATTAGGATAAACAGAGACTATATTAAGACAAATCGAGATTAATAAAGTTGTAAGGACATCATTATTGCAAGGTTCTTAAGGTAAAGTCTTTAATACACATATATGTATATGTATATATTGTATAAGCGTATATAATTATAGGTTAAGGACTTTATGGAAACCAAAACTGAAACTTCCTTAATTAAGAAACTTTCGGCTTTGGTTTCTATAAAGTCCTTAACCTATAATTATATATGTTTATACAATATATACATATACATATATGTGTATTAAGGACTTTACCTTAAGAACCTTGCAATCATCATGCCCTAAAAGAAAATAGTTTAGGGAAACTAATCTAGTGTTAGTCATGTCGCCAAGTGTTGATTGGCTAAGTCCTAGGTGTATTGATGAGTCACATATGAATAGACATCTCAGTTAAATTTAAAATTTAAACAACCAATTAAATTATAAAATTTTCATTTAAGTTTGCTCTCATTTAATAGTATGATATAATTGTTTTCTATAGATTTATGGAGATTTATTCGTATCAAAACATATTCTTTTTCTATGTATGTTGAAGATTTTTTTTTTTATCTTATGCTAGAGAAAAACTCTTGGCTCAGAAATCAGACGGTGGTGTCCTACTCTTAGGGTCCGACTAGTTAAATCTCAGCGGTTGCAGGCGTTTGCAGATGTGGGTGAATACATCGTTTGGCGTTCTTAACTGATTTCTATGATTGGCAAAATGATTAAAAATTAGTATGTTTACTGGATGTTTATGATTGGTTGATTATAAGATATTACGACTGGTAATAATAAATTACCAATATTAACACATTAAAACATTATTAAATATCAAAACATACTATTATGATAAAGTATCAATATAATATAATTAATAACAATATTACGTTTATTTTTAAATGAAATGTATAATTTTAATAAAATTTATTTTGAAGATTTATATAATAACTTTAAAAGAATATTTTGTTTCTTTTATATATGTATATATAATAATATTTAAAAATGATAGCGAATATTTTTGGTTTAAAGTTTTTATAAAATAAATTATGATACAATTAGTGAATCTAAATTAATAAAAATGTTTATATATTTTTATGATTTTTTTTCTTGTATGCACCTCCTAGGATGAACATGTGCGTTCACCACTAAAATAATAGCGAATAAATATTTTATGAATCATATTCTGTTTATGAAAAGATATAAAACATAATCAGAAAATATTATTAACTAGGTGATGCTCTTGTACTTATGCACGGATATAGATATTTATAAAATATTTAACCTATAATAATTTATTAATATTATATTTTTATTAAGTCATAAATTGTTTTGTAATTAATATGTATGAAAAATGAAACTTTTTTAAACGAACACCTGATTTTTATTATAAATATTTAAACAATTATTTTTGAATATATGAAATTGCTTGTTTCCATCTCAACTGAATATAAAGGTTTCATCTTCGAAATAAGCTTAAATCAACTAACTTTATAAGTTGCATTTAATATGATTTATTGTCTTGTATTCATAATCTATTTTCATAAAATTATGGATAATTTCATATATGTTATTTTGGGAAACAAATAGAAAAGTATTGTCAATTTGTCATCCTAGGGTGTTGTAAGTGAACATAATCAGTAATATTTTGAAAGTTTATGCATATATATATATATATATATAAACATTTATGACCAAAATAAACTGTAATAATTTGTTAATATATTTTATTTTTTTTAGTTTTGATTTTTTTTTGTAATTTACATTACTTAGAATAGTGTTCTTTTTTTTTTTATCTTAGTTTTGAATTTTTTTGTAATTTACATAGATAAAAAAAAAGAACACTATTCTAAGTAATGTCACTGGGTTAAATAGGTTTCTGGTTTTGAGTATATGAATCATGATCAGTTCCTTTCTCATTGTTTGAGTATATTGAATTGTATATATTTGTCTAAAATGAACAACAACTATTTTTTTATTCTAGTTAGGTTAAAAATTATTAATCTTTGTTGCATTTATTTTAGTTTTAAGTTTTCGGTATGAAATTTTTTTTTCTTTCTAAAACAAATAATTATACTATTTTGGAACCTATGTTTATGTATAAAAATCTAAATATATTAAGACTTCTAAACATTTATTTTATATATTATTTTTTATAAAATATGAACATAAGTAAAATTAAAATTCTTTATTTATATATATATACATATTTCATATATAAATTCTATATATTTTCATTTTATTATTTATGAGAATTTTGTAATAAAATTTAAAAGAAAAAGGAAATAAAGCTATATACCTGATTATTAATTTATTAACCAAAAATAAAATAG